ACACCCCCACCTCTTGCAATCCAGGAATCTAAACTAAAGCACCCATGCCAGAGGATGGCCATCCAACCTCTGCTATGAAATTTATAGGAAATGATATTCATACTGTTAATAATAGATAAAGTAATTTTATCTATTTTCCCATGAAGAGAGTATTTGAATTTCCTGCACTAGTATGTGAAAAGTAACAACTGATTTTCACAGTCAACCAAATCACATGACTCAGCTGGATTCTACCCCCTTGCAGCTATGCTCTGTTGTGCTACAAATAGTCTGCAATTAGGTTTTATGCTTGCTGAGTGAAGTTATGCTTATCATTATTCTTCCAAATCTGAGTCTCCTTTTTATCAGTTTCAGGTATCTAAGTAATGGTGCCTGCAATTTTTCTCTTCAAAAATACAGTATTCAAGGAAAGAGTATAATAGATATGTCTAAAGCTTTTGAGGTCAAAAGTTGAGAACCCACAAATTGTGCATATAGTAACTATACTTTTAGACATTATATCAAATGCATGGACGTCAGGTGAGGATGGGCAGGAATCATAGAATCATAGAATCATAGAGTTGGAAGAGACCACAAGGGCCATCGAGTCCAACCCCCTGCCAAGCAGGAAACACCATCAGAGCACTCCTGACATATGGTTGTCAAGCCTCTGCTTAAAGACCTCCAAAGAAGGAGACTCCACCACACTCCTTGGCAGCAAATTCCACTGTCAAACAGCTCTTACTGTCAGGAAGTTCTTCCTAATGTTTAGGTGGAATCTTCTTTCTTGTTGTTTGGATCCATTGCTCCGTGTCCGCTTCTCTGGAGCAGCAGAAAACAACCTTTCTCCCTCCTCTATGTGACATCCTTTTATATATTTGAACATGGCTATCATATCACCCCTTAACCTCCTCTTCTCCAGGCTAAACATGCCCAGCTCCCTTAGCCGTTCCTCATAAGGCATCGTTTCCAGGCCTTTGACCATTTTGGTTGCCCTCCTCTGGACACGTTCCAGTTTGTCAGTGTCCTTCTTGAACTGTGGTGCCCAGAACTGGAAACAGTACTCCAGGTGAGGTCTGACCAGAGCAGAATACAGTGGCACTATTACTTCCCTTGATCTAGATGCTATACTCCTATTGATGCAGCCCAGAATTGCATTGGCTTTTTTAGCTGCCGCGTCACACTGTTGGCTCATGTCAAGTTTGTGGTCAACCAAGACTCCTAGATCCTTTTCACATGTACTGCTCTCAAGCCAGGTGTCCCCCATCTTGTTTTTGTGCTTCTCATTTTTTTTGCCCAAGTGCAATACTTTACATTTCTCCTTGTTAAAATTCATCTTGTTTGTTTTTGCCCAGTTCTCTAATCTGTCAAGGTCATTTTGAAGTGTGATCCTGTCCTCTGGGGTGTTAGCCACCCCTCCCAATTTGGTGTCATCTGCAAATTTGATCAGGATGCCCTTGAGTCCATCATCCAAGTCATTGATAAAGATGTTGAATAAGACCGGGCCCAAGACAGAACCCTGTGGCACCCCACTAGTCACTCTTCTCCAGGATGAAGAGGAACCATTGATGAGCACCCTTTGGGTTCAGCAGGAATGTAAGGTATCATTGATATTAAAGAAAAAATAGATTAATTAAACTGTTCTTTACTACTTGTTTCATTCCATACCAAGTCTTTTCATTTACCTTAAAATATGCCTACAACAATAATGTAAAATTCTTACACTGCAAGCAACCTGCTGTTGAATATTTCGATTTTAGGATTTGTCCTTCCGGCTCTCTTTACTAAGGTGAAGAAGCTTCAGTGATGATGGAATCAGTAGAAAAGAGGGTTAATAAAACAAATTCAGAAAGATGAGGGAAAATATTTTAAGGCAGAAAAAGAACTTCTGAGCTCTTTCTTACAACCCAGTCGAGAAACTTTGGGAATCAATGAAATATTATATAAAGCCAAGTCTTTTGTTTAGGAAGGAAATTATTTTGTTGGAAATGATGATGAAAAAAACCAAGTAAATATTTTTCCTAATCCATAGTGGTCTCCGTCACTGAGTAGAGACAGTGCTTCAAACAGGATGATGCGAGGCAGGCCCTGGACTGCCTGGTCTAATTTTATAGTGGAGTGAGATCAGGACCCTGGACAAGAACAAGGATGCTGAATCTGAATGTAGGAGCAAGAGCTTCAGGACTTCAGTAAGTGGAACTGAGGTAATTGAGGTTTGTAAAAACCACTTTAATTAATTAAATAGGTGTGTGATCTTATGAAGCAGCCAATCATTACAGTTAGTTACAAGATAATGGTGATGACTGAAGTAACAAAAACATCTCCTCCGGTCTGCACTAGCTATTCTGATGCTCGCCCTAAATAATCCTGATGTTCCCCCTACATTATGTTCCCTCTCTCCCTATCTTCTTGTTCTCTTTCAGCTCTTCCAAATATATACCTGAAGGCATCCAGAGAAAGAAATGGCCACTAGAGAGATTTGGGAAATGGGTTCTCAAAGTCTATTTCCTCAACAAGTAACACTCTTGATTTGCTTGCCCATATATTAGGTTATTCCAAAGGCATAAAACCAAATCCCAGCAGAGCATGAGAAGTTTTGTGTCATTAAAGAGGCCACTGGGACAATATCCTCCAGAGACAATAGAATGCTCTGACTAAATATCAAATAATATTTTTCTGATCTGAAGCCACTAATGGGTTGTGGGTGAATTGCTGGTTCCAGCACTTATATAAATCAGTCCAGAGATTGAATAAGCTCATTTTCTTCTGGAATCAGCACCATCCATGACTATCATATTGTGCCCTATGACCAGTGGGTGCCATCAAGATTAAGAGCTAAATTTTGTTCCAGAGCTTTATCACCTAACAGGTTCAGCTTATTTGATTCTATAGATATTTGATTCTATATGATAAGAAACAGACACACCCTCTTTCACTCCTCCCTGCATACTGGCTTGTACAGCACAAAACCCGCAGAAGAAATCAGTTGACTGACCAAGCAAATCACATCTGAGAATCAATTCTCAAAGTGTATGTTATGCCCCTGGTTGTTTTGTTGTCTTTGAAATGTTTTCTGGAAAGAACAAGGAGGAGAAGATGGATGACAAGCCTTGTTGCCTGGGCTGGAGAAGGTAAGGCAATCAAAGGCAACACACTTCAAAGACTTGGGTGCCCAGATTAAAATCAAGGTTATAATTGTGATGGAGATTGGTATTAATGGCAGCACTTTTAAAAGCATGCTTGAAATGCCTCTGGGTATATGTCAGTAATTTTTTAAAATAATAAAATTGGATTATAATAAATATGGCTTTAAAACAACTCCCATTAAAATAAATTCATGTGTAAATCCCATTTTGAAAGCATATTTCTTAAGCAGAAATGAAGCACTTAAAATGGAAAGCAACTGTCCTTTCTGCTTCAGTTGCTGCTCTTACATATTGCTTTCTACTGGATTTCTATTTATGTTCCAAATACACTTACAGTGGTACCTCTGGATGTGAACGGGATCCATTCTGGAGCCCTGTTCACATCCTGAAGTGAACACAACACATGATTGCGCGTGCACGGGTTGCAATTCGGCACTTCCGCACATGCTTGTGATGTCATTTTGAGCGTCTGCGCATGCGCGAGTGGCAAAACCTGGAAGTAATGCGCTCCGTTACTTCTGTGTCACCGCGGAGCATAACCTGAAAACACTCAACCTGAAGCACATTTAACCCGAGGTATGACTGTATTCTAAACATCTGAGTTTACAAAGGAGGGGCAGAATATTATTATTATTATTATTATTATTATTATTATTATTATTATTATTATCATTATTATTAAACTTTGTATGCCTCCCTTCATCTGAACATCACAGGGCAGCTTATGACATAAAAATGCAAACTGGGAATACAAAATGCATAATAAAACAAAAGCAAACCAATAGCCCCTCCCATAAACACATTTAAAAGGCCATAGAATGTCCAATCAGCCATAAAATGGTGGGCATGACCAAGTAAATCAAAACTTTTAACAATAAATGAAATTTGGATCTTTATATAGCTCATTGGATGGGACAACAGGGTTGTGGAAGAATTTGGGGTGTGTAAGAGCATTGCTTGCATCCTTTTCCACTGTTGTCCTCTGCTACTTGTTAAGATCAGTGATCTCTTATTTTCCAGATGCTAAGAACACCACAAGCCATTTAGCTCAGAGGTGGGGACTTTTTTCAGCTCAGTGGTGACCTTTCCTCAAGGGCAAGCTTCCAAGGACCACATGTCAGTGATGTACACAGGCCAGGGCAAAACTGGGTGAAGCAGCAGCTGTGACACCTCTGCACAGTAAGCTGCATTCTGCCTGCGGAAAAATCAGAGGTTTCTGTGCAGACAAATATATAGAGTGAGAGTGAGAAACAGAGATCCATCCAGTCAAGTAAAAGGCATTTTCACAGTTCAGGGACTCATTTCAGCCAAGCCAAAGTCTTCAAGATGCCTCAGGGAGGGGAGATGGGATGGATGGATCTGTCCATTTCAGTTCTCTCTGTTTTCCCCATTTCAAATTCCATTCTTCACATTTTGCAGCAAGTTGCAAAATAATAATAATGAAATCCTCATGAAAATTCATCAGCATTTTAGTTTAGGTTTCTCCCAATAAACACAGTTGTATACACAGTTTTCACTAAATTACATGTTTTAAATATCCACATTCCCATTATATATATGCACTTTTGTAAATAATGTTTGGTTGGCAAACCGCATAGCAAAATCGGGATGAGTGAAAATTTCAAAGGATAGCTGTGTCTCAGTTTGCATAGTGGTTCCGAAAGTGCAAATTTGATAGATTTGGCTTCAAATTAGACCTGAATAGAATTTATTGCCCATCTCTAGAGGGACTGTAGCATGGAGAGGGTGTGTCGTAGATAAGGTCTTGAGGTTCTCCATCCCTGATGTAGCTCATTGAGAACTGATACTATTCTGATAGACCAGAACTTCAGTGTATATCTTCAATTTCCTTACCAGCTAATCCCACATAGCTTCATGGAGGAAGGAAATCTCACCACAGTGACCGACTTCATTCTCCTGGGCTTCACAACAAACCCTAAACTGCAGCTGATCTTATTTGTACTATTTCTACTAATATATATAGGCAGCCTGGCAGGGAATATCACATTAATTGCTCTAATCTGCAGCAGCTCTCACCTCCATACGCCCATGTATTTCTTCATTGGGAACCTTTCCTTCCTGGATCTGTGGTATTCCTCCATCTATACGCCAAAGATCTTGGTGAACTGCATCTCTGAAGACAAGAGTATTTCCTTTGGTGGCTGTGCCTCCCAATTCTTCTTCTCAGCTGCCCTTGCCTATAGCGAGTGCTACCTTCTGGCAGCCATGGCCTATGACCGTTATATGGCCATAGCCAAGCCATTGTTGTATGCCACTGCCATGTCCAGAAAGCTGTGCACAGCACTGGTGGCCCTCTCATATCTAGGTGGGTTCATCAATTCCACCTTAATCACTAGTGAAACCTTCACATTGAGCTTCTGTGATGGCAACGTCATTGATGACTTCTTCTGTGACTTACCTCCATTGGTGAAGCTATCCTGCAACGTGCCCAAGAGCTATCAGTCCGTGTTGTACTTCATTTTGGCTTCTAATGTAATTACACCCTCTGCACTTATCCTTGCCTCCTATGCCTTCATTCTGGTTGCCATCTTGAGGATCCGCTCCACTGAAGGGAGACTGAAAGCCTTCTCCACATGTGCCTCTCATCTGATTGCAGTTACTTTGTACTATGGCTCTATCCTCTTCATCTACTCACGGCCCAGCTCCAGCTATGCTTTGGAAAGGGACAAAGTGGTCTCTGTTTTCTACACAGTAGTGATTCCTATGCTTAATCCCCTCATCTACAGCCTCAGGAACAAGGATGTAAAACATGCTCTGAAGAAACTAGCAATGAAATGGAGGACAGCATGAATGACTATAACTGGAAGCATGCAGTTTTGTTTCTAGTAGCTTAGCATTATTACTCATTAGTAAGATCTTTTGTCATGTGTTTTTATGTAGATGTGTCCTCAGAACCTCATTTGTATAATGCATTATTTGTGAGACACTATTTTTCATACTCATAAGACCCATTCATGTTGGACTAATTCTTCCTTTTCTCCCTCTGCCCATCTTGAGGCTGACTATTGCTGCAGATAACAATCATTTTAGATCATTTCCCCTGATAAAGTATCTGAACCGTAGGCTGCCATCCTATACCCACTTACTGGGGCATCTCATTTAACTAAGGATGTATAAATCTGTCATTTTAAATGTGCCAGGTTTTTGGTTTTCCAAACTTAGGTTCAGTTCTGCACTTAAGTCCTCACAAAAATTCATCAGCACTTTAGTGCCCATTTCCCCAAATACAATGCATTTTTACACTTAATTTAGTTGGGGAACTGCATCACAAAATTCAGAGAAGTGCCGATTTCAAAAGGATGGCTGCCTTTGGGCTGCATATTGCTTCTGGAAGAAAAAATTAGAGGCAGTTCTCATTAAGATGTTTATTGAACTTATCTCTGCATTTAACTCGATGAGACTTACTTTTGAGAGAATCATAGAATCATAGAAGCATAGAGTTGGAATAGACCACAAGGGCCATCGAGTCCAACCCCTGCCAAGCAGGAAACACCATCAGAGCACTCCTGACATATGGTTGTCAAGCCTCTGCTTAAAGACCTCCAAAGAAGGAGACTCCACCACACTCCTTGGCAGCAAATTCCACTGTCAAACAGCTCTTACTGTCAGGAAGTTCTTCCGAATGTTTAGGTGGAATCTTCTTTCTTGTAGTTTGGATCCATTGCTCCGTGTCCGCTTCTCTGGAGCAGCAGAAAACAACCTTTCTCCCTCCTCTATATGACATCCTTTTATATATTTGAACATGGCTATCATATCACCCCTTAATCTCCTCTGATAAGGCATGCTACATAGGATTGCAATATTAGCCACTTGTGTATATCCTAGATCAATATATTGCTCTCACTTGAGATGCTATAATATAATTTGAAAATAAATATATAAAGATAACAATTTCTTTTAAAATTGTATGTTTCCTGTTTAATAAAACAATGATAATAAATTAGAAAGTATATGGCCTCTGTTATTGCAAAGGGTTATTTGTTCTGGGTGTTGGTGGCTATTACATCAGTACTGTTGTGTGAAGAAACAGTCATTCAACATCCAGTGGCCCTCTAGAGGTAGTTGGACTCCAGCCAAGATGATCAATGTGCAGGGACGATGGGAGTTGTAGTCCAATAACATCCAGAGGGCCACAGGTTCCTCATCCCCATTCTAGATAAAAAAAATCATTGCATGACACAATTGTTCCACAGAAGTGTGTGTGAGGAGAAGAGGAGGAGGAGGAGGAGTTTGGATTTGATATCCCGCTTTATCACTACCCAAAGGAGTCTCAAAGCAGCTAACATTCTCCTTTCCCTGCCTCCCCCACAACAAACACTCTGTGAGGTGAGTGGGGCTGAGAGACTTCAGAGAAGTGTGACTAGCCCAAGGTCACCCAGCAGCTGCATATGGAGGAGCGGAGATGCGAACCCAGGTCCCCAGATTACGAGACTACCACTCTTAGCCACTACACCACACTGGCTCTCAGGGCCCAAGGGAGCCAGCACCCATGAGTCAGGGACTTATGGAGCAGTTGCAGCAACAGGGAAACTCCCGCCTCCACCAGCTTATAGGTCCTCCCCTGATGGGTTGTGCTCCTGCAACCTGAGGCTTCTAGCGACACAGAAGGTGCTGATTCTCTTCCCACTACAAGACCCTCCTGGTTCTAGGAGACAGCAGGCAGGGGAAGGTGGAACGTCTACTGATCCATATGTTAGCTGAACTGCCTCTTCTTCTGCTGCCCCATCTGGTGTGCCTTCCTCCATCCCACTCTGTCCTGACTCCCCTAGCTCCTGCCTTGTAGGCAGTGTCAGGACCCATAAATCAATGGTCCCCTTGCCTAGGTAACTCCCCTAGTCCCCTGCCTTCACTGCACACTCTTCAGAGTCCTGCCAGTCCTTGAGAGCGTTGGTGATGTCAGGTCCAGGAAGGAAAATGAGGGCCCCTGACAAACCACAATTAGTCCCATTGCCTGAGAAACCCTGCCAGAAAGCAAGAGAAATGGGTGCCATGTATTTTCTTGTGCAGGAGGGGAGGGGAAATGACAGGGAGCACAATGAGAAAGCAAATTGCATGGGATGCCTATACCCTTGACACCTCCACAAAGATATGTCTCCTGATGAGGGAATCAGAGATCAGAAATCCTCTGGGGACAGAGCTCCCAGCCTCCGCCATTCCTACTCTTTAATTACCGCATCATTTTTAGGAGGTAGGAAACTCAATGCACAATAAATAGACATCCAGGAGTTTACAGGGATCAGTAGGATGCTGACTTAACCAATGATCAAAACTTCAGAGTTCCTCTCTCCCACCCATAGAACGGTTCAAGGAAAAGAAAAAGGGGAGCATCACTCAGGAACTCTGGATCTTCTAAAATCTCCACAAGAAGCCTTGGTAAGACCCAGCTATGTCATCATCAGCCTCACAGAGCAACTGGGACCCAAACAAACTTTGACATCTCATAGACTAATTAATATTGAAAACAACCCTGCCATCCATATTTCTTATATTTCTTCAGACCACTGTATCTTTTCCATAAAATGGTGAATGAAAACAGTACCACCATCACCGAGTTCATTCTCCAGGGCATCTCAAATGATCCAGGTATGAAAGTCTTATTCTTTGTGGTATTCCTGATCATCTACCTGGTCAATGTTGTGGGAAATCTGGGCATGATCATCTTGATCACACTTGATTCCCACCTTCACAATCCTATGTACTTCTTCCTCTGGCACCTGTCCTTCTGTGACATCTGCTACTCATCTGCCATTGCCCCCAGAATGCTCTCTGACTTGTTATCTGAGAGCAGGATCATCTCCTTCCCTGAATGCACAGCCCAGTTCTACTTCTTTGCTGCATTTGTGGATGCCGAGTGCTACATTTTAGCAGTGATGGCCTATGACCGCTATGTGGCCATCTGCAACCCATTGCTCTATTCCACTGCCATGTCCAAGTCCCTCTGTATCAGGCTCCTACTTGGCTCATACATTGCTGGCACAACTAATGCCATAATACACACAACAGCCACCTTCAGCCTGCAGTTCTGCAGTTCCAACCTCATCAACCATTTCTTCTGTGATGTCCCTCCACTGCTGGCAATCGCTTGTTCTGACACCCACATTAATGAGATTTTGCTTTTTGCATTTGCTGGCTTTGTTGAGATGAGCTCCCTCTCCATCATCCTACTCTCTTACATCTTCATTTTAGCAGCCGTCCTGAGAATGCTCTCAGGGAGGCTCAAAGCCTTCTCCACCTGTGTGTCCCACTTCACAGGGGTCACTTTATTTTATGGGACTGTGATTTTCATGTATCTCCGGCCCACTTCTGTCTATGCCTTGAATCAAGACAAATGGGCTTCTGTGTTCTACACTGTAGTGATCCCCATGCTCAATCCTCTGATCTACAGCTTGAGGAACAAAGATGTTAAGGAAGCTTTCAGAAAACTCATTAACAAGAAGCTGAACTCTGTCTTAAATTAAAATGCAATATTAATACTGAATGGAGTTTTTTTGTGAACTGGTTCCATAGGAACTTGACTTGTAGGTTTCAGAACGATTTCGTTTCCCTTATAGCTGATCATCAATTTCCTACTAGCTAGAGAACCAGAAAACGAAGGAATTCAACCACAGAGTTATTGTCTGACATTCATTGAGCAATGTCATTTGCAATTTCAAAATCATTTGTGCTGAATGGGGTTGACTGAAACTTCTTGTGGACTCTACAATTTAACAAGTTTGAGGGGTCACCTGAAAGCAGGCATTCCATCAGACCACCTCAATGGGAGAGATGGGAAGTGTTGTGTTGGGATATAAGGAAGATATCAGAAGGAAGTGTCCCTTTCTTTCTACAAGACAAGACTAAAATAAGAAATTCCCCTTGGAGTACTGCACCATGAAAAGCACAGGAGCTCAAGGGTCCAAAAAGCATTACATTCAAATAAACCACCTCCTAGCATAAATAACAGGAAGATTCCACCACCTTCTTTAAAAATGTGTCATCATGAAAACAGTTGGTTTGCTATTTTATAACACTAATTCTCATCATCGGGTTGTATCCAACTAGCTTATACCCACAGTAGACCCACTGAAATTTATCAGCTATGATAGTCATATCCATTTATATTCTGAATACGATTCATGTTCCAAGGTTTTTATGTCATATTGTTGTGTTGTAGTCTAATGAATTGTTTGTTTACTGTCCTGGGTATCTTTGGGTTGACAGGTTGGTTATAAATATAACAACAACAACAACAAAATGCTTGATGTTTCATGGAAATCACCACTGCCTAGTATATTGTGAGTGTTGTTAAGACTCTACTCTCAAAAATACAAAATGCTATACAAAGTAACCCAAGAGAACTGGGATTCTATGGCCTCCTCCAAAGGTTTCCTGTGGCTTTTGCAATTTCACAAGTATGAGGCACCAGCTAGGCTGCCACTGACTTCTGCTCTGCATTCTGGGCAGCCCAACCAGAAGTAAACACAGGCAAGCCTATAGCAGAACTATGCAGTAGCAGCTTACCACTCAATGCACTCTTACCTCACACAGCCTATGATGAGGGAGAGATGTGATTCAGTGCACATTTAAAGGTGAACTTACCTAGTTTCCACTTTCTGGAGCAATGTGAACCAATAAAATTCCATCGGTCAAAATTCAGACTTCTCTGAATTTTGCAATGCACATCCCCAGTCAAGTAATATTGACAACCTACGGTAAAATGTGCATATGAATGTATAAATCAACGGGAATAAAAATAAAGCATGCTTTATATCAGGCAAAATTGTGTGCAAGAATAAGTTTATTGGGAGAAATTTGCTATGGAATGCTGAGGAACTTTCACCAGAACAAACAACGACCCCGTAAACGGATGTGGAAATGTGTGCAGCTTGAGACTGGGAAAATGTGAGAAACTGAGAGAAAGCAAAGCTACCAGATTCACCCATCCATACCCTCAGCTGCATAAAGAGACATGATAGCTATGTGGGGAAGAAAGAGAGCAGGAGAGAGGGCAGTAAGCAAATCCAAACCAAAATGCTTCCTCAGAGGAGATGGCAGGTAGGAAGGAGAATAAAACAGTGCAGAAATCAGGAGAAAGGAAGATTTTGGTTGTGGTCATACAGTGGCAAGCAAGCAGTGCATTTAGGCAAGAGTGGGAGGAAGCTGGACAGACGGGAGGCTGAAAGAGGTCTCAGCTTCATCTGCAGTTACCTTTATTTCTAGTAATTGCTGCTAGGAGGGTCTTTATGATGGACTGGCAAGTAAGGACACCACATGCATCCACTGCAGCCACTGAGAGATGCTATAGAATACTAGAGCAATAGTAGTGCCCTCTATATGTTGCTGGACGACAGCTTCCATCAGCCCTAGACAGAGTGGCAGGTGGTCAGGGATGACAGGCAATAAAGTCCAACAACTTATAAAGGTCACCAGGTTGGCAAAGGCTGCACAACTCTAACTCTCCCTTCCCCCAGAAAAATGGTTCTAACAACAACAGGAATAATGATGGACTTCATCTGCATTGGTATCAGAAAAGTGCATGTTTTATGTTTATAAACCCAGAGGGGTGGGAACCTCCTCTTTAATGTATGAGAGAAGACCTGAATTCTGCAGTCATTGTAGGTACCTTTTGTTCTTGAGTTGACTCTACAATCAGCAGGTGAGGCCTTGTTCATAGTGCCACTACTGGGGCTGCGGGGCTGGGGCTGACTTGTGATAGGAGGCTTTTCAATGCTAGGCTGCAGCTCTCTAACACCTCAGTTAAACTATGCAAGCAAAGGAACATGTCAGGGTTTATGATCTCCCTCTCACACCAAGAGATGGTAGACTGGCGACTTTATTACTCTATTAATTTCTTACTATTTACACAATAGTTTCAGTCCGAGCACACAGCTCAGTCTTCCTCACTCAATGAGTCAGTTGCACCCACTGAAGGGTGGACTCTGCTAACAGGCTATCCTCCATCGGCTACCCCCTCCTACTGTTGGCCTGACGCCAAGCCTGGACTCTACCCTTCCTCCTAGTAACAGGAGACTATGGAGCCGCTTTCCCAGTTTGCCCCTCCTCCCCTGAGAATGTGTCTGAGATCTGCGGCTCCTCTACCTGCCTCACGCTGTCTTGGGAGCTTACGACACGCATTCCAGGACTGGAGGGACTCACCTCACCCCCCGTATGGGAAGAAGGCAAGCCTCTATCTCTTTTCCCTGCTGCCACCCCCCCCCTCGTCATCGGAGCCCCGCTGTTGCTCCTGGAAGGAGCGTTCCTGACAGAACAAGAGTTTGCAGAATTCTGCTGATCAATTGCTTGCTGGTGCCTACAAACCCTGTATCCTTTGCCCACAGGTTATGAAATCAATCCATGTTGGAAAGGGATCGGAGGGTTGCAAGCACTGCCAATCACCTGGTTGGCAGCATCTGCAAATTCTGCTTTCAACAGGAAGCTGCATTTTTACCTGTCCCATAGCTGACATCACGGCCCATCCCAGATAAAGAAGACGCGCATCTGATAGTTAACTCTTTATTGGCAAGATAAACACTTACAGCAGCTCCCGCAGTGCTCTAGATACACACACAAATATACTCCTCTAGCCTATAGAATCCTAAAGGTCTGGAGCCTATGGAGCAGTTGCAGCAACAGTTAAATTCCACCTCTCCACCTGCTTATATGTCCTCCGCTGGTGGGTTGTGCTCCAGCAGCCAGAGACCTCTACCAGGTATGGAAGGTGCCACTGCCCTTCCCACTTCAAACCCCTCCTGGATTTAGGAGACAGCAGGCAGAGGAAGGTGGGAAGTCTATTGAACCATCTGCCGACTGAATAGCCTCTTCTGCTGCTGCCCCGTCTGGTGTGCCTTCCTCCATCCCACTCTGACCTGACACTCGTCCCTTGGCTCCTGCCTTGTAGGCAGTGTCAGGACCCATAAATCAATGGTCTCCTTGCCTGGATAACTCCCCTGGTCCCTTGCCTCCGCTGCACACCCTTCAGAGTCCTGCCAGCCCTTGAGAGCGTTGGTGATGTCAGGTGCAGGAAGAAAATGAAGGCCCCTGACAAACCACAATTAGTCCCATTGCCTGAGAAACCCTGCCAGAAAGCAAGAGAAATGGGTGCCATGTATTTTCTTGTGCAGGAGGGGAGGGGAAATGACAGGGAACACAATGAGAAAGCAAATTGCATGGGATGCCTATACCCTTGAAAGCTCCACAAAGATATGTCTCCTGATGAGGGAATCAGAGATCAGAAATCCTCTGGGGACAGAGCTCCCGGCCTCCGCCATTCCTACTCTTTAATTACCGCATCATTTTTAGGAGGTAGGAAACTCAATGCACAAATAGACATCCAGGAGTTTACAGGGATCAGTAGGATGCTGACTTAACCAATGATCAGAACCTCAGAGTTCATCTCTCCCACCCATAGAAAGGTTCAAGGAAAAGACAAAGGGGAGCATCGCTCAGGAACTCTGGATCTTCTAAAAGAAGCCTTGGTGAGACGCAGCTATGTAATCATCAGCCTCGCAGAGCAACTGGGACCCAAGAAAACTTTGACATCTCATAGACTAATTAATATTTAAAACAACCCAGCCATCCACATTTCCTACATTTCTCCAGACCACTGTATCTTTTCCTTAAAATGGTGAATGAAAACAGTACCACCATCACCGAGTTCATTCTCCAGGGCATCTCAAACGATCCAGGTATGAAAATCTTATTATTTGTGGTATTACTGATCATCTATCTGGTCAATGTTGTGGGAAACCTGGGCATGATCATCTTGATCACACTTGATTCCCACCTTCACAATCCTATGTACTTCTTCCTCTGGCACCTGTCCTTCTGTGACATCTGCTACTCATCTGCCATTGCCCCCAGAATGCTGTCTGACTTGTTATCTGAGAGCAGGACCATCTCCTTCCTTGAATGTACTGCCCAGTTCTACTTCAGTGCTGCCTTTGCGGATGCCGAGTGCTACATTTTAGCAGTGATGGCCTATGACCGCTATGTGGCCATCTGCCACCCATTGCTCTATTCCACTGCCATGTCCAAGTCCCTCTGCATCTGGCTCCTACTTGGCTCATACATTGCTGGCACAACTAGTGCCATAATACACACAACAGCCACCTTCAGCCTGCAGTTCTGCAGTTCCAACCTCATCAACCATTTCTTCTGTGATGTCCCTCCACTGCTGGCAATCACTTGTTCTGACACCCACATTAATGAGATTTTGCTTTTTGCATTTGTTGGCTTTGTTGCGATGAGCTCCCTCTCCATCATCCTTCTCTCTTACATCTTCATTTTAGCAGCCGTCCTGAGAATGCCCTCAGGGAGACTCAAAGCCTTCTCCACCTGTGGGTCCCACTTCACAGGGGTCACTTTATTTTATGGGACTCAGATTTTCATGTATCTCCGGCCCACCTCTGTTTATGCCTTGGATCAAGACAAATGGGCTTCTGTGTTCTACACTGTAGTGATCCCCATGCTCAATCCTCTGATCTACAGCTTGAGGAACAAAGATGTTAAGGAAGCTTTCAGAAAACTCATTAACAGGAAGCTGAACTCTGTCTTAAACTAAAATGCAGTATTATTACTGATTATTATTTTTTTGTGAACTGATTCCATAGGAACTTGACTTGTAGGTTTCAGAACGATTTCCTTTCCCTTATAACTGATCAACAATTTCCTACTAGCTAGAGAACCAGAAAGCGAAGGAATTCAACCAAGGGTTATTGTCTGACATTCATGAGCAATGTGGGGCAGGATAATCCCTCCCCTACCGGCCTGGTCTCCTGGCAACGCTTCCCCCAGGTGGGATTGGGACAACTGACTGGAGTAGGCGGAACCTCCAGGATTCCCACCTGAGGAAGGCAAAAGCCATACCTATGCTGATGTGGCCGCTCCAGATTCTAGGGGCTGCACGCGCCCGCGCAAAGGGCCGCCCCCCGTTTTAAGTGGGAGCTGGTCATTGCAATTTCACAAATCATTTGTGCGAATGAGGTTGACTGAAACTTCTTGTGACTCTACAATTTTAACAAGTTTGAGGGGTCACCTGAAAGCAGGCATTCCATCCAGACCAACCTCAATGGGAGGATGGGAAGTGGTGTGTTGGGATATAAGGAAGATATCAGAAGGAATTGTCCCTTTTTTTCTACAAGACAAGACTAAAATAAGAAATTCCCCTTGGAGTACTGCACCATGAAAAGCACAGGAGCTCAAGGGTCCAAAAAGCATTACATTCAAATACACCACCTCCTAGCATAAATAACAGGAAGATTCCACCATCTTCTTTAAAAATGTGTCATCATGACAACAGCTGGTTTGCTATTTTATAACACTAATTCTCATCATCAGGTTATATACAACTAGCTTATACCCAGAGTAGACCCACTGAAATTTATCAGCTATGATAGTCATATCCATTTATATTCTGAGTAGTACTAACGTTCCAAGGTTTTTATGTCATATTGTTGTGTTGTAGTCTAATGAATTGTTTGTTTACTGTCCTGGGTATCTTTGGGTTGACAGGTTGGTTATAAATATAACAACAACAACAACAACAACAACAACAAGCTTGATGTTATCAGATATTTTCATGGATATCACCACTAGAATGCAATCTCCCTAGTACATTGTGAGTGTTGTTAAGACTCTACTCTCAAAAATACAAAATGCTATACAAAGTAACCCAAGAGAACTGGGATTCTATGGCCTCCTCAAAAGGTTTCCTGTGGCTTTTGCAATTTCACAAGTATGAGGCACCAGCTAGGCTGCCACGGACTTCTGCTCTGCATTCTGGGCAGCCCAACCAGAAGTAAACACAGGCAAGCCTATAGCAGAACTATGCAGTAGCAGCTTACCACTCAATGCACTCTTACCTCACACAGCCTATGATGAGGGAGAGATGTGATTCAGTGCACATTTAAAGGTGAACTTACCTAGTTTCCACTTTCTGGAGCAATGTGAACCAATACAAATCCATTGGTCAAAATTCAGACTTCTCTGAATTTTGCAATGCACATCCCCAGTCAAGTAATATTCACAACCTAGGGTAAAATGTGCATATGAATGCATAAATCAACGGGAATAAAAATAAAGCACGCTTTATATCAGGCAAACTTGTGTGCAAGAATAAGTTTATTGGGAGAAATTTGCTATGGAATGCTGAGGAACTTTCACCAGAACAAACAACGACCCCGTAAACGGATGTGGAAATGTGTGCAGCTTGAGACTGGGAAAATGTGAGAAACTGAGAGAAAGCAAAGCTACCAGATTCACCCATCCATACCCTCAGCTGCATAAAGAGACATGCAGTGGCGTAGCGTGCGTTGTCAGCACCAGGGGCAAGGCAAGTAATTTGCGCCCCCTAACCCGTGGGTTTGCGCCCCCTAACCAGTGGATTTGCGCCCCCTAACCCTAACCCCCAGATGTTGCGGCCGGTGCGGCCGGCCCCCCCAGCACCCCCCATGCTATGCCACTGGAGACATGATAGCTATGTGGAGAAGAAAGAGAGCAGGAGAGAGGGCAGTAAGCAAATCCAAACCAAAATGCTTCCTCAAAGGAGATGGCAGGTAGGAAGGAGAATAAAACAGTGCAGAAATCAGGAGAAAGGAAGATTTTGGTTGTGGTCATACAGTGGCAAGCAAGCAGGGGATTCAGGCAAGAGTGGGAGGAAGCTGGACAGACGGGAGGCTGAAAGAGTTCTCAGCTTCATCTGCAGTTACCTTTATTTCTAGTAATTGCTGCTAGGAGGGTCTTTATGATGGACTGGCAAGTAAGGACACCACATGCATCCACTGCAGCCACTGAGAGATGCTATAGAATACTAGAGCAATAGTAGTGCCCTCTATATGTTGCTGGACGACAGCTTCCATCAGCCCTAGACAGAGTGGCAGGTGGTCAGGGATGACAGGCAATAAAGTCCAACAACTTATAAAGGTCACCAGGTTGGCAAAGGCTGCACAACTCTAACTCTCCCTTCCCCCAGAAAAATGGTTCTAACAACAACAGGAATAATGATGGACTTCATCTGCATTGGTATCAGAAAAGTGCATGTTTTATGTTTATAAACACAGAGGGGTGGGAACCTCCTCTTTAATGTATGAGAGAAGACCTGAATTCTGCAGTCATTGTAGCTACCTTTTGTTCTTGAGTTGACTCTACAATCAGCAGGTGAGGCCTTGTTCATAGTGCCACTACTGGGGCTGCGGGGCTGGGGCTGACTTGTGATAGGAGGCTTTTCAATGCTAGGCTGCAGCTCTCTAACACCTCAGTTAAACTATGCAAGCAAAGGAACATGTCAGGGTTTATGATCTCCCTCTCACACCAAGAGATGGTAGACTGGCGACTTTATTACTCTATTAATTTCTTACTATTTATACAATAGTTTCAGTCCGAGCACACAACTCAGTCTTCCTCACTCAATGAGTCAGTTGCACCCACTGAAGGGTGGACTCTGCTAACAGGCTATCCTCCATCGGCTACCCCCTCCTACTGTTGGCCTGACGCCAAGCCTGGACTCTACCCTTCCTCCTAGTAACAGGAGACTATGGAGCCGCTTTCCCAGTTTGCCCCTCCTGCCCTGAGAATGTGTCTGAGATCTGCAGCTCCTCTACCTGCCTCACGCTGTCTTTACGACACGCATTCCAGGATTGTAGGGACTCACCTCACCCCCCATATGGGAAGAAGGCAAGCCTCTATCTCTTTTCCCCTCCCCCCCCCCCATCATCGGAGCCCCGCTGTTGCTCCTGGAAGGAGCGTTCCTGAGAGAACAAGAGTTTGCAGAATTCTGCTGATCAATTGCTTGCTGGTGCCTACAAACCCTGTATCCTTTGCCCACAGGTTATGAAATCAATCCATGTTGGAAAGGGATCGGAGGGTTGCAAGCACTGCCAATCACCTGGTTGGCAGCATCTGCTTTTCAACAGGAAGCTGTATTTTTACCTGTCCCATAGCTGACATCACGGCCCATCCTAGATAAAGAAGACGCGCATCTGATAGTTAACTCTTTATTGGCAAGATAAACACTTACAGCAGCTCCCACAGTGCTCTAGATACACACACAAATATACTCCTCTAGCCTATAGGATCCTAAATGTCTGGAACCTATGGAGCAGTTGCAGCAACAGTTAAATTCCACCTCTCCACCTGCTTATCTGTCCTCCCCTGGTGGGTTGTGCTCCAGCAACCAGAGACCTCAACCGGTATGGAAGGTGCCACTCCACCTGCTTATATGTCTTCCCTGGTGGGTTGTGCTCCAGCAGCCAGAGACCTCTACCGGTATGGAAGGTGCCACTGCCCTGAGAAACCCTGCCAGAAAGCAAAGGAATGGGTGCCATGTATTTTCTTGTGCAGGAGGGGAGGGGAAATGACAGGGAACACAATGAGAAAGCAAATTGCATGGGATGCCTATACCCTTGAAAGCTCCACAAAGATATGTCTCCTGATGAGGGAATCAGAGATCAGAAATCCTCTGGGGACAGAGCTCCCGGCCTCCGCCATTCCTACTCTTTAATTACCGCATCATTTTTCAGAGGAAGGAAACGCAATGCACAATAAATAGACATCCAGGAGTTTACAGGGATCAGTAGGATGCTGACTTAACCAATGATCAGAACCTCAGAGTTCATCTCTCCCACCCGTAGAACGGTTCAAGGAAAAGACAAAGGGGAGCATCACTCAGGAACTCTGGATCTTCTAAAATCTCCACAAGAAGCCTTGGTAAGACCCAGCTATGTCATCATCAGCCTCGCAGAGCAACTGGGACCCAAGAAAACTTTGATATCTCATAGACTAATTAATATTTAAAACAACCCTGCCATCCACATTTCCTATATTTCTCCAGACCACTGTATCTTTTCCTAAAAATGGTGAATGAAAATAGTACCACCGTCACCGAGTTCATTCTCCAGGGCATCTCAAACGATCCAAGTATGAAAGTCTTATTCTTTGTGGTATTCCTGATCATCTATCTGGTCAATGTTGTGGGAAACCTGGGCATGATCATCTTGATCACACTTGATTCCCACCTTCACAATCCTATGTACTTCTTCCTCTGGCACCTGTCCTTCTGTGACATCTGCTACTCATCTGCCATTGCCCCCAGAATGCTCTCTGACTTGTTATCTGAGAGCAGGACCATCTCCTTCCCTGAATGCACTGCCCAGTTCTACTTCTTTGCTGCCTTTGTGGGTGCCGAGTGCTACATTTTAGCAGTGATGGCCTATGACCGCTATGTGGCCATCTGCAACCCATTGCTCTATTCCACTGCCATGTCCAAGTCCCTCTGCATCAGGCTCCTACTTGGCTCATACATTGCTGGCACAACTAGTGCCATAATACACACAACAGCCACCTTCAGCCTGCAGTTCTGCAGTTCCAACCTCATCAACCATTTCTTCTGTGATGTCCCTCCACTGCTGGCAATCGCTTGTTCTGACACCCACATTAATGAGATTTTGCTTTTTGCATTTGCTGGCTTTGTTGAGCTGAGCTCCCTCTCCATCATCCTACTCTCTTACATCTTCATTTTAGCAGCTGTCCTGAGAATGCCCTCAGGGAGACTCAAAGCCTTCTCCACCTGTGGGTCCCACTTCACAGGGGTCACTTTATTTTATGGGACTGTGATTTTCATGTATCTCCGGCCCACTTCTGTCTATGCCTTGGAACAAGACAAATGGGCTTCTGTGTTCTACACTGTAGTGATCCCCATGCTCAATCCTCTGATCTACAGCTTGAGGAACAAAAATGTTAAGGAAGCTTTCAGAAAACTCATTAACAAGAAACTGAACTCTGTCTTAAACTAAAATGCAATATTATTATGAATGGGGTTTTCTTTGTGAACTGGTTCCATAGGAACTTGACTTGTAGGTTTCAGAATGATTTCCTTTCCCTTATAGCTGATCATCAATTTCCAGAGAACCAGAAAACGAAGGAATTCAACCACAGAGTTGCTGTCTGACATTCATTGAGCAATGTCATTTGTAATTTCAAAATCATTTGTTCTGAATGAGGTTGGCTGAAACTTCATGTGGACTCTGCAATTGAACAAGTGTGAAGGGTCACCTGAAAGCCGGCATTCCATCAGACCACCTCAATGGGAGAGATGGGAAGTGTTGTGTTGGGATATAAGGAAGATATCAGAAGGAAGTGTCCTTTTATTTCTACAAGACAAGACTAAAAGAAGAAATTCCCCTTGGAGTACTGCACCATGAAAAGCACAGGAGCTCCAGGGTCCAAAAAGCATTACATTCAAATACACCACCTCCTAGCATAAATAACAGGAAGATTCCACCACCTTCTTTAAAAATGTGTCATCATGACAACAGCTGGTTTGCTATTTTATAACACTAATTCTCATCATCAGGTTATATACAACTAGCTTATACCCAGAGTAGACCCACTGAAATTTATCAGCTATGATAGTCATATCCATTTATATTCTGAGTAGTACTAACGTTCCAAGGTTTTTTATGTCATATTGTTGTGTTGTAGTCTAATGAATTGTTTGTTTATTGTCCTGGGTATCTTTGGGTTGACAGGTTGGTTATAAATATAACAACAACAACAACAAGCTTGATGTTATCAGATATTTTCATGGATATCACCACTAGAATGCAATCTCCCTAGTACATTGTGAGTGTTGTTAAGACTCTACTCTCAAAAATACAAAATGCTATACAAAGTAACCCAAGAGAACTGGGATTCTATGGCCTCCTCAAAAGGTTTCCTGTGGCTTTTGCAATTTCACAAGTATGAGGCACCAGCTAGGCTGCCACGGACTTCTGCTCTGCATTCTGGCAGCCCAACCAGAAGTAAACACAGGCAAGCCTACAGTGGAACTATGCAGTAGCAGCTTACCACTCAATGCACTCTTACCTCCCACAGCCTGTGATGAGGGAGAATGTGATTCAGTGCACATTTAAAGGTGAACTTACCTAGTTTCCACTTTCTGGAGCAATGTGAACCAATACAAATCCATTGGTCAAAATTCAGACTTCTCTGAATTTTGCAATGCACATCCCCAGTCAAGTAATATTCACAACCTAGGGTAAAATGTGCATATGAATGCATAAATCAACGGGAATAAAAATAAAGCACGCTTTATATCAGGCAAAATTGTGTGCAAGAATAAGTTTATTGGGAGAAATTTGCTATGGAATGCTGAGGAACTTTCACCAGAACAAACAACGACCCCGTAAACGGATATGGAAATGTGTGCAGCTTGAGACTGGGAAAATGTGAGAAACTGAGAGAAAGCAAAGCTACCAGATTCACCCATCCATACCCTCAGCTGCATAAAGAGACATGCAGTGGCGTAGCGTGCGTTGTCAGCACCCGGGGCAAGGCAAGTAATTTGTGCCCCCTAACCCGTGGATTTGCGCCCCCTAACCAGTGGATTTGCGCCCCCTAACCCTAACCCCCAGATGTTGCAGCCGGTGCGGCCGGCCCCCCCTACACCCCCCACGCTATGCCACTGGAGACATGATAGCTATGTGGAGAAGAAAGAGAGCAGGAGAGAGGGCAGTAAGCAAATCCAAACCAAAATGCTTCCTCAAAGGAGATGGCAGGTAGGAAGGAGAATAAAACAGTGCAGAAATCAGGAGAAAGGAAGATTTTGGTTGTGGTCATACAGTGGCAAGCAAGCAGGGGGATTCAGGCAAGAGTGGGAGGAAGCTGGACAGACGGGAGGCTGAAAGAGTCTCAGCTTCATCTGCAGTTACCTTTATTTCTAGTAATTGCTGCTAGGAGGGTCTTTATGATGGACTGGCAAGTAAGGACACCACATGCATCCACTGCAGCCACTGAGAGATGCTATAGAATACTAGAGCAATAGTAGTGCCCTCTATATGTTGCTGGACGACAGCTTCCATCAGCCCTAGACAGAGTGGCAGGTGGTCAAGGATGACAGGCCAATAAAGTCCAACAACTTATAAAGGTCACCAGGTTGGCAAAGGCTGCACAACTCTAACTCTCCCTTCCCCCAGAAAAATGGTTCTAACAACAACAGGAATAATGATGGACTTCATCTGCATTGGTATCAGAAAAGTGCATGTTTTATGTTTATAAACCCAGAGGGGTGGGAACCTCCTCTTTAATGTATGAGAGAAGACCTGAATTCTGCAGTCATTGTAGCTACCTTTTGTTCTTGAGTTGACTCTACAATCAGCAGGTGAGGCCTTGTTCATAGTGCCACTACTGGGCTGCGAGGCTGGGGCTGACTTGTGATAGGAGGCTTTTCAATGCTAGGCTGCAGCTCTCTAACACCTCAGTTAAACTATGCAAGCAAAGGAACATGTCAGGGTTTATGATCTCCCTCTCACACCAAGAGATGGTAGACTGGCGACTTTATTACTCTATTAATTTCTTACTATTTATACAATAGTTTCAGTCTGAGCACACAACTCAGTCTTCCTCACTCAATGAGTCAGTTGCACCCACTGAAGGGTGGACTCTGCTAACAGGCTATCCTCCATCGGCTACCCCCTCCTACTGTTGGCCTGACGCCAAGCCTGGACTCTACCCTTCCTCCTAGTAACAGGAGACTATGGAGCCGCTTTCCCAGTTTGCCCCTCCCTCCCCTGAGAATGTGTCTGAGATCTGCAGCTCCTCTACCTGCCTCACGCTGTCTTTATGACACGCATTCCAGGATTGTAGGGACTCACCTCACCCCCATATGGGAAGAAGGCAAGCCTCTATCTCTTTTCCCCTGCCCCCCCCCCCCGTCATCGGAGCCCCGCTGTTGCTCCTGGAAGGAGCGTTCCTGAGAGAACAAGAGTTTGCAGAATTCTGCTGATCAATTGCTTGCTGGTGCCTACAAACCCTGTATCCTTTGCCCACAGGTTATGAAATCAATCCATGTTGGAAAGGGATCGGAGGGTTGCAAGCACTGCCAATCACCTGGTTGGCAGCATCTGCTTTCAACAGGAAGCTGTATTTTTACCTGTCCCATAGCTGACATCACGGCCCATCCTAGATAAAGAAGACGCGCATCTGATAGTTAACTCTTTATTGGCAAGATAAACACTTACAGCAGCTCCCACAGTGCTCTAGATACACACACAAATATACTCCTCTAGCCTATAAGGATCCTAAATGTCTGGAACCTATGGAGCAGTTGCAGCAACAGTTAAATTCCACCTCTCCACCTGCTTATATGTCTTCCCCTGGTGGGTTGTGCTCCAGCAGCCAGAGACCTCTACCCGTATGGAAGGTGCCACTGCCCTGAGAAACCCTGCCAGAAAGCAAAGGAATAGGTGCCATGTATTTTCTTGTGCAGGAGGGGAGGGAAATGAACAGGGAACACAAATGAGAAAGCAAATTGCATGGGATGCCTATACCCTTGAAAGCTCCACAAAGATATGTCTCCTGATGAGGGAATCAGAGATCAGAAATCCTCTGGGGACAGAGCTCCCGGCCTCCGCCATTCCTACTCTTTAATTACCGCATCATTTTTCAGAGGAAGGAAAACGCAATGCACAATAAATAGACATCCAGGAGTTTACAGGGATCAGTAGGATGCTGACTTAACCAATGATCAGAACCTCAGAGTTCATCTCTCCCACCCGTAGAACGGTTCAAGGAAAAGACAAAGGGGAGCATCACTCAGGAACTCTGGATCTTCTAAAATCTCCACAAGAAGCCTTGGTAAGACCCAGCTATGTCATCATCAGCCTCGCAGAGCAACTGGGACCCAAGAAAACTTTGATATCTCATAGACTAATTAATATTTAAAACAACCCTGCCATCCACATTTCCTATATTTCTCCAGACCACTGTATCTTTTCCTAAAAATGGTGAATGAAAATAGTACCACCGTCACCGAGTTCATTCTCCAGGGCATCTCAAACGATCCAAGTATGAAAGTCTTATTCTTTGTGGTATTCCTGATCATCTATCTGGTCAATGTTGTGGGAAACCTAGGCATGATCATCTTGATCACACTTGATTCCCACCTTCACAATCCTATGTACTTCTTCCTCTGGCACCTGTCCTTCTGTGACATCTCCTACTCATCTGCCATTGCCCCCAGAATGCTCTCTGACTTGTTATCTGAGAGCAGGACCATCTCCTTCCCTGAATGCACTGCCCAGTTCTACTTCTTTGCTGCCTTTGTGGGTGCCGAGTGCTACATTTTAGCAGTGATGGCCTATGACCGCTATGTGGCCATCTGCAACCCATTGCTTTATTCCACTGCCATGTCCAAGTCCCTCTGCATCAGGCTCCTACTTGGCTCATACATTGCTGGCACAACTAGTGCCATAATAACCACAACAGCCACCTTCAGCCTGCAGTTCTGCAGTTCCAACCTCATCAACCATTTCTTCTGTGATGTCCCTCCACTGCTGGCAATCGCTTGTTCTGACACCCACATTAATGAGATTTTGCTTTTTGCATTTGCTGGATTTGTTGAGCTGAGCTCCCTCTCCATCATCCTACTCTCTTACATCTTCATTTTAGCAGCTGTCCTGAGAATGCCCTCAGGGAGACTCAAAGCCTTCTCCACCTGTGGGTCCCACTTCACAGGGGTCACTTTATTTCATGGGACTGTGATTTTCATGTATCTCCGGCCCACTTCTGTCTATGCCTTGGAACAAGACAAATGGGCTTCTGTGTTCTACACTGTAGTGATCCCCATGCTCAATCCTCTGATCTACAGCTTGAGGAACAAAAATGTTAAGGAAGCTTTCAGAAAACTCATTAACAAGAAACTGAACTCTGTCTTAAACTAAAATGCAATATTATTATGAATGGGGTTTTCTTTGTGAACTGGTTCCATAGGAACTTGACTTGTAGGTTTCAGAATGATTTCCTTTCCCTTATAGCTGATCATCAATTTCCAGAGAACCAGAAAACGAAGGAATTCAACCACAGAGTTGCTGTCTGACATTCATTGAGCAATGTCATTTGTAATTTCAAAATCATTTGTTCTGAATGAGGTTGGCTGAAACTTCATGTGGACTCTGCAATTGAACAAGTGTGAAGGGTCACCTGAAAGCAGGCATTCCATCAGACCACCTCAATGGGAGAAATGGGAAGTGTTGTGTTGGGATATAAGGAAGATATCAGAAGGAAGTGTCCTTTTATTTCTACAAGACAAGACTAAAAGAAGAAATTCCCCTTGGAGTACTGCACCATGAAAAGCACAGGAGCTCCAGGGTCCAAAAAGCATTACATTCAAATACAGCACCTCCTAGCATAAATAACAGGAAGATTCCACCACCTTCTTTAAAAATGTGTCATCATGACAACAGCTGGTTTGCTATTTTATAACACTAATTCTCATCATCAGGTTATATACAACTAGCTTATACCCAGAGTAGACCCACTGAAATTTATCAGCTATGATAGTCATATCCATTTATATTCTGAGTAGTACTAACGTTCCAAGGTTTTTATGTCATATTGTTGTGTTGTAGTCTAATGAATTGTTTGTTTATTGTCCTGGGTATCTTTGGGTTGACAGGTTGGTTATAAATATAACAACAACAACAACAAGCTTGATGTTATCAGATATTTTCATGGATATCACCACTAGAATGCAATCTCCCTAGTACATTGTGAGTGTTGTTAAGACTCTACTCTCAAAAATACAAAATGCTATACAAAGTAACCCAAGAGAACTGGGATTCTATGGCCTCCTCAAAAGGTTTCCTGTGGCTTTTGCAATTTCACAAGTATGAGGCACCAGCTAGGCTGCCACGGACTTCTGCTCTGCATTCTGGGCAGCCCAACCAGAAGTAAACACAGGCAAGCCTACAGTGGAACTATGCAGTAGCAGCTTACCACTCAATGCACTCTTACCTCCCACAGCCTGTGATGAGGGAGAGATGTGATTCAGTGCACATTTAAAGGTGAACTTACCTAGTTTCCACTTTCTGGAGCAATGTGAACCAATACAAATCCATTGGTCAAAATTCAGACTTCTCTGAATTTTGCAATGCACATCCCCAGTCAAGTAATATTCACAACCTAGGGTAAAATGTGCATATGAATGCATAAATCAACGGGAATAAAAATAAAGCACGCTTTATATCAGGCAAAATTGTGTGCAAGAATAAGTTTATTGGGAGAAATTTGCTATGGAATGCTGAGGAACTTTCACCAGAACAAACAACGACCCCGTAAACGGATATGGAAATGTGTGCAGCTTGAGACTGGGAAAATGTGAGAAACTGAGAGAAAGCAAAGCTACCAGATTCACCCATCCATACCCTCAGCTGCATAAAGAGACATGCAGTGGCGTAGCGTGCGTTGTCAGCACCCGGGGCAAGGCAAGTAATTTGCGCCCCCTAACCCGTGGATTTGCGCCCCCTAACCAGTGGATTTGCGCCCCCTAACCCTAACCCCCAGATGTTGCGGCCGGTGCGGCCGGCCCCCCCTACACCCCCCACGCTATGCCACTGGAGACATGATAGCTATGTGGAGAAGAAAGAGAGCAGGAGAGAGGGCAGTAAGCAAATCCAAACCAAAATGCTTCCTCAAAGGAGATGGCAGGTAGGAAGGAGAATAAAACAGTGCAGAAATCAGGAGAAAGGAAGATTTTGGTTGTGGTCATACAGTGGCAAGCAAGCAGGGGATTCAGGCAAGAGTGGGAGGAAGCTGGACAGACGGGAGGCTGAAAGAGTTCTCAGCTTCATCTGCAGTTACCTTTATTTCTAGTAATTGCTGCTAGGAGGGTCTTTATGATGGACTGGCAAGTAAGGACACCACATGCATCCACTGCAGCCACTGAGAGATGCTATAGAATACTAGAGCAATAGTAGTGCCCTCTATATGTTGCTGGACGACAGCTTCCATCAGCCCTAGACAGAGTGGCAGGTGGTCAAGGATGACAGGCAATAAAGTCCAACAACTTATAAAGGTCACCAGGTTGGCAAAGGCTGCACAACTCTAACTCTCCCTTCCCCCAGAAAAATGGTTCTAACAACAACAGGAATAATGATGGACTTCATCTGCATTGGTATCAGAAAAGTGCATGTTTTATGTTTATAAACACAGAGGGGTGGGAACCTCCTCTTTAATGTATGAGAGAAGACCTGAATTCTGCAGTCATTGTAGCTACCTTTTGTTCTTGAGTTGACTCTACAATCAGCAGGTGAGGCCTTGTTCATAGTGCCACTACTGGGGCTGCGAGGCTGGGGCTGACTTGTGATAGGAGGCTTTTCAATGCTAGGCTGCAGCTCTCTAACACCTCAGTTAAACTATGAAAGCAAAGGAACATGTCAGGGTTTATGATCTCCCTCTCACATCAAGAGATGGTAGGCTGGCGACTTTATTACTCTATTAATTTCTTACTATTTACACAATAGTTTCAGTCTGAGCACACAGCTCAGTCTTCCTCACTCAATGAGTCAGTTGCACCCACTGAAGGGTGGACTCTGCTAACAGGTTATCCGCCATCGGCTACCCCTCCTACTGTTGGCCTGACGCCAAGCCTGGACTCTACCCTTCCTCCTAGTAACAGGAGACTATGGAGCCGCTTTCCCAGTTTGCCCCTCCTCCCCTGAGAAGGTGTCTGAGATCTGCAGCTCCTCTACCTGCCTCACGCTGTCTTGGGAGTTTACGACACGCATTCCAGGATTGTAGGGACTCACCTCACCCCCCATATGGGAAGAAGGCAAGCCTCTATCTCTTTTTCCCTGCCCCCCCCCGTCATCGGAGCCCCGCTGTTGCTCCTGGAAGGAGCGTTCCTGAGAGAACAAGAGTTTGCAGAATTCTGCTGATCAATTGCTTGCTGGTGCCTACAAACCCTGTATCCTTTGCCCACAGGTTATGAAATCAATCCATGTTGGAAAGGGATCGGAGGGTTGCAAGCACTGCCAATCACCTGGTTGGCAGCATCTGCTTTCAACAGGAAGCTGTATTTTTACCTGTCCCATAGCTGACCCATCCTAGATAAAGAAGACGCGCATCTGATAGTTAACTCTTTATTGGCAAGATAAACACTTACAGCAGCTCCCACAGTGCTCTAGATACACACACAAATATACTCCTCTAGCCTATAGGATCCTAAAGGTCTGGAGCCTATGGAGCAGTTGCAGCAACAGTTAAATTCCACCTCTCCACCTGCTTATCTGTCCTCCCCTGGTGGGTTGTGCTCCAGCAACCAGAGACCTCAACCGGTATGGAAGGTGCCACTGCCCTTCCCACTTCAAACCCCTCCTGGATTTAGGAGACAGCGGGCAGAGGAAGGTGGGAAGTCTATTGAACCATCTGCTGACTGAATAGCCTCTTCTGCTGCTGCCCCGTCTGGTGTGCCTTCCTCCATCCCACTCTGACCTGACACTCGTCCCTTGGCTCCTGCCTTGTAGGCAGTGTCAGGACCCATAAATCAATGGTCTCCTTCCCTGGATAACTCCCCTGGTCCCTTGCCTCCGCTGCACACCCTTCAGAGTCCTGCCAGCCCTTGAGAGCATTGGTGATGTCAGGTGCAGGAAGGAAAATGAGGGCCCCTGCCAAACCACAATTAGTCCCATTGCCTGAGAAACCCTGCCAGAAAGCAAGAGAAATGGGTGCCATGTATTTTCTTGTGCAGGAGGGGAGGGGGAATGACAGGGAACACAATGAGAAAGCAAATTGCATGGGCTGCCTATACCCTTGAAAGCTCCACAAAGATATGTCTCCTGATGAGGGAATCAGAGATCAGAAATCCTCTGGGGACAGAGCTCCCGGCCTCCGCCATTCCTACTCTTTAATTACCGCATCATTTTTAGGAGGTAGGAAACTCAATGCACAATAAATAGACACCCAGGAGTTTACAGGGATCAGTAGCATGCTGACTTAACCAATGATCAGAACCTCAGAGTTCATCTCTCCCACCCATAGAAAGGTTCAAGGAAAAGACAAAGGGGAGCATCACTCAGGAACTCTGGATCTTCTAAAAGAAGCCTTGGTGAGACGCAGCTATGTAATCATCAGCCTCGCAGAGCAACTGGGACCCAAGAAAACTTTGATATCTCATAGACTAATTAATATTTAAAACAACCCTGCCATCCACATTTCCTACATTTCTCCAGACCACTGTATCTTTTCCTAAAAATGGTGAATGAAAACAGTACCACCATCACCGAGTTCATTCTCCAGGGCATCTCAAACGATCCAGGTATGAAAATCTTATTATTTGTGGTATTCCTGTTCATCTATCTGGTCAATGTTGTGGGAAACCTGGGCATGATCATCTTGATCACACTTGATTCCCACCTTCACAATCCTATGTACTTCTTCCTCTGGCACCTGTCCTTCTGTGACATCTGCTACTCATCTGCTATTGCCCCCAGAATGCTGTCTGACTTGTTATCTGAGAGCAGGACCATCTCCTTCCTTGAATGTACTGCCCAGTTCTACTTCACTGCTGCCTTTGGGGATGCCGAGTGCTACATTTTAGCAGTGATGGCCTATGACCGCTATGTGGCCATCTGCAACCCATTGCTCTATTCCACTGCCATGTCCAAGTCCCTCTGCATCTGGCTCCTACTTGGGTCATACATTGCTGGCACAACTAGTGCCATCATACACACAACAGCCACCTTCAGCCTGCAGTTCTGCAGTTCCAACCTCATCAACCATTTCTTCTGTGATGTCCCTCCACTGCTGGCAATCACTTGTTCTGACACCCACATTAATGAGATTTTGCTTTTTGCATTTGCTGGCTTTGTTGCGATGAGCTCCCTCTCCATCATCCTTCTCTCTTACATCTTCATTTTAGCAGCCGTCCTGAGAATGCCCTCAG